ACTTTTAAACCTGTTGTAGCCCCTTTCGTTTGCTCCTTGCTTGCCCCCCTTTCCCCTCCGGAGGATAATTGCTTTGGGCTTTCACCCTATAGTATTCGGATTCAGATTTGGATTCAAATTTGATCTCAGTTTTGATCTTAGTCTTCGAATTTATTTTGGATTTCATCTCAGCCCATCTCAAGTTCATCTCAAACTCCATTTCAACTTTCATCATGGGTCCATTTCAGACTCCATCTCAGATCCATCTTAAGTCCATTTCAAGTCCATCTTGGGTCCATCTTAGACTCTATTTTGGGTTCTATTTCGGTCCATTTTAGACTTCACCTCAGGTCCATCTCAAACGTCACCTCAAACTCCATTTCGAGTTCATTTTGAGCATTTTGGCTTCATCTTAGACTCTTTTTTAAACTCTTTAATCTCCATTTCAGACTCCTTCTTGGACTCTTTTTCAGACTCATTATTGACACTTCCATGTGTCACAACACTTGCCATGTATTAGTCCTTCTTATGTTCCTTTTTAGAAACTTATTCATTGATTGCTTCATGATTATTCCTTGAGCACTTTGTTTGAAGATCCATTTTCACGTTCGACTTTCCAAGTTAGAGCGTTTAGTCCAAACATGTATGGCTGCCTCCCTACAAGCTCTAAGGAGGAGTCATTCTTCTCATTATCAAAGGAGTTTTATGTTTGTTGGACTTCCACTTCGACTATTATTATGGGGCACCTTTTTGGCTCCACTTTGGGGCTTAGAGATTTATATCTCACAACAATGTTTACAAGTTTGAATAAATTCTAGATTGTGATGAGGAATTTGATTATTATGGAAATTATTTTAGAGATGAATTGGAGATTTTGCATCAATCTTTTAATTTGCCATCTAATCCTTTCTCTTTACATTTTACTTTTTCTTAGCCTTTTATTATTTCTCGACCTAAGCTATCTTCTCATGTTTTTAGTGTTCCTTTCTCATCTAGAATATTTCCTTCTCCTGGCACATTAATCATTTCTAACTCTTATAATGTTCATTTTCAATCTAGTATTGAGTCCAGTGTTTTCTATCCTTCTTATACGAATTTGAATATTGAGTATATATGTGAAGCTTAGAATCTTACTTTTATTTTATTGTGGAGTCTTTGATCAATTATAGTGTTAAGTATTCCTTTGTTCCAAAGGTTGAGTCACTTTGGTTAAAGTTTCAAGTTAAGTGTATATCCCTGAATGCTAATGAGAGTCTTTATTTTATTATTTGCTATTGAGGAGTTTATATGTTCCTTTGAGAGTGTGGAATTATTTATTGATTTTCCTATCTCAAATGTTGAATTGTGTGTTGAGGAAGTTAAGTGGTGTGAAATTTTTCCTTATCTCGTGCTAGCTAAAGTATTTTATCATAGTAGATTTTTTATTCTCTAGACTTTAAATATATTTTCTTTTTTCTCCCCATTTATACTTTGATAATTGCTGAAATTTTCTATTTTAATGCTTCTTTATCCACTTTTTTTCTTCCACAATATATTTTTCTCCTTTTTTCTCGCTTCCTTCTTTTTACCCTGACACTTTAAACTTTTTTTTCTTTGGAGGAGGGGGTAAAGGGGATGGATGGAGTCTGGCTTTGATAATGGAATAAGGACAAGCAAATATGATTGTGGAGCAGAGACAAATGACATAGATTGTGGAGTGAGGATGAATACAGCAAGTCTAAATGAAACATCTAACCCCAATATAATGAGATTAAACAGATGTAATAATGGAGTGAAATATAAATGGCAAAATGAGGATAAACACAATAAATTTTGAATGGAGTTAGTGGTTTAAAGGTTTCTTTTCCTTCGAGAAAAGGTTAAGGAGGATGTGGAAGACAAATGGAGTGAGTCTAACCTCTCATGTGTGGTGCTAAACAAAGATAACAATTATGAGTTTAAATTAATACAGATCTCAAATGTTAACCGAAGGGAAGATGCAAATATAAGTTTTGTTTATAATCGTAAGTCTGAGTTAATGATGGTTTTAAAGGATTATCAACAAATAAATCTAAAGATGGGATGTTATGTTTATTGCAATGTGCTTTATAAACTATTATAGCTCTCAAAGTCCCTTGCTTCAGTTCAAAATTATGGCTTCATAGTTGGTTTTAACATTTGGCAGATATATATGAAGTTACAATTAGTTCATTGAGATTCTATGAATGATTGATGTTTGTGCTATGGCTTTGGATTTTGTTTTAATTATGGTTGTCAGCAATATTGTTGATGGTTTTATATGAACTTTAGATTCTTATAATAATTTATAATCACCTAGCAAAAGTTTCAGATGTTCCATTTGATTTATTATCATCACCTTTTCATCTTCTGGAAGGAATTATAGTGTAAGGTTTATAAATATGTATATACATGTATTACCCTACCTAGATAATACACTAATTATAGTAATATAGTATATGGATCGCCAATTTAGGACTGAATCTAGTCCATCCATTCTTATATATTTTAAACCTTAATTAATATATCTATTCTTATATCCCAAGCACTCACATATTTAAGTATTGCAACTAGAGGAATATTTGATTAAATATTCTTTTTAAAATGTTCAAATGTTATTAAATGGGAATTTAATGATATTGTTGTTATTAATATGATTTTTGTTTCTTCCACTATTGTATTATTTCACTACCCAAGTAAAGCATTTTATTCTTGTGTATAATAAGTTATACTTTATCCATGTGTTAGCATATTATTCAAAAAATTCATGTAATAAATATTCATCACAAAATTATTCTTAAGAATGAGTAGCTTTTCCTTGGTGAATACTTCAGTCATAGCTCTCCATCTCTAAAATGTTTAACTCTCCAAAACAATATTGAAGTATAATAAATAAAATCATTAATGAATTAAACATATAAAGTTTACCACTTAATGTTTAGATTGCAAAAGTCCATCTATATTTGATTGTGCCAACTCCAAAATTATTTTGACAAATTTTTTTTGAAGATTATTGATTCTAAAATCCTTAGAAGTAAACTTTAAAATCTTATTATACAATAGAAAGTTATATTTTATAAAGATTATAGTTTCTATATCTAATAAGTATCACTTCACTAGTAAACTCGTGGAGTATATAGCAGCAAGTTTTGTTGAAAGTTTGTCAATAAAAGAATAGATAATAAACTCTTAATCATATCAGAGGTATATAAGGCATTTTTTATAATTAATATAAAATTATTTCTAAAAGAAATTACTATATGCCTTTATCTTTTAACTATTGAAAACCACAAAAATTCAATCAGTTACCCTTATTTTTTGAAACCACTCCTTATTGATCAATTTACTCATGAATTGACACTCAAAGAATAAAAAACAATTATGAAATAGATAAAGTAAATATCATTTTATAATCTCTAATCAACGCATTCACAAAAGGCATTCTGTTCTTGGCAAGGTCCTTTTTTAGAGTTTTGCTTTAATGGCCTCATTTTTTGCAGTGATCATACATGATACCTCCTTTTTAAAATCACTTGAAGAATTATTAGCATCACAAGGAAATTGAGTACTTCCCTCAAGCTTTAGTTTTGTATGCAATTATGGCAGCTACACTAACACCTCTAAGAATACTTCAAATGCTTTGGCAAGTAGGTGTTTTGATTGATTATGATTACAAATGCAACTTAATCTTTTCTTCTATAACTCTCAGTGTTGCACAATCTCAACTATGACTATTAGATTGTCATACTTCTCTAGAAAAAAATGGTTAAAGTATAGGATCTTCTGCTCCTCACAAACATCTTGATCAGATTTTAAAAAATTGGCCAAATATATGTGAAGTAAACAAAATATTTCTCTATCTTTGAGCTTTAGATAAAGAACTTTAATTGAGTATACTGATACCCAAGTTGTGGTAAGTTACTGGTATTTTTTCTCAAATAACTCCCATAGGTCTTTTATAAATCTATATTCTAGCTTTGCAATAATAGAATCAGAAACATAGATTCCATAATGCCTTGAACTTTATATTCCTAATATCAAAATTTACAATATCCATCTCACCCTTACTATCAAAATCTTATGTTTTAGCTTTTGCCTTTTCTCCCTTTATAATATGAGTATTGTGAAAACCAATGTAATCCATAAATCCATTTTTTCATAAGTTATGCGAGAACTTTCATTTTCCAATTTAAAATGTTGGCAATACCATCAATGTGATCTGTTGCTTTAAACTTTATGAATGGATTCCTGATCACAGGGAGAATTTTTGACAAAGAAATGGAAAACAAAAATTTGACTATAAATCATACAAATGATGAAGTAGATAAGACATTAATGCTTTATAACTATGTGAAAAGAGAGAATGGAAATGAGATATCGATCTTAAAAATGGCATAAATTTATACAACAAATTAATTCTATCTGTGGTTTTAGGTGATTTACTCTAACATGATAATGTTGAGTTCCATTGCTAATCATCCACCTCAAAGAGATTTCCTAAGTTTGTAAGTTCACCACCTCTCAAGCTTTGCAACTAAGCCTTCACTAACAGATCACAAAAGCATGATTTAAGTGCATTGTTAGGTCAAATTCAATAGCTAGCGAGGTGTAATTTAAAATCATACTATCATCATGTAATAACACATGTCATGAACAAATGATTGAAAGAAAAGAGCCACTTGCTCGAAAGTGAGGTAAATTAAATTACAATTATAAGCATTCTTTTAGAGGATTATATCAAAGATATAAATTTTTCAAAAAACAAGTGTATTTTAAGGGTAAAGTAGAAAATACTTTAAAGAAGTCAATGCACATGACAAAAGCCTTTTAACTACCACTAAAAGAACTGGAATGGTTTTCGCCACTATTAGAATAGCCCAGATCTTCCAAGTCTCATGGCTTGCCATGGAGACGAAGATGAAGAAAGATCTCGCAGAGATCCTTTAATCTTGCATGCTCAGGGGGAGAAATTCGTCCAGGACGGGAGCTTGGATTACTATGGATCTCCAGCCGTGGCTTCTAAAACAGGGGGATCTCGCCCCTCCACTGCGCTCGTTCTCATTGTCTGCGGCTCGCTCTCGCTCTATGGTGTCTCCTACAACTTGGTCCTCTTCATGGTCTCCAAGCTCGGCCTCTCCAACGCGGGGGCGGCGATCCAGGTTAGCATATGGAATGGCGTCCACGACTCTGAGATGATGAGCATGGAAAGCTGATGAGAAAAGCATATGAAAACTCATCAATCAACTACCCAAAACTTGGTTCTTGGTCTTGGACTTGCTTGCACACTCTTTGCTTCTTGCTATGGCTTCAATCTTGCCTCTAGCATGTGGTCTTGGACCTAAACTGCCAGGCTCCCACTTCTCTGCGACTAGGCACTTGAATCTCCATGAGCATCCTTCCCAATTGCTGGAAATTCCTGCAAAGAATTGCTATGCAATGTTCTTGAATCTTGACCCAATTCTTGATAGGGTTGGTGAAATCTCTCAATCTCCCACTGGCTTTGTTCTCTACTTGCTGCTGCTTGTTGCTCAGCACCTCTACACAGCCTGGTGCCTTGGTGCAACGCCTCAAGCGTCCCAAACATTGCAAGAGGGATTGCAATTGGGAGGCTCATCCTCCTCCTCATCACTGGCCTCCTGGCCAGCAAGCGCCATTCTCAGGATCAAGGAGCCCAAGGCTCCGATACCATGTTAGCAGCGGAGAGACGCGCACACGAGGAGGAAGAACTGTATATATATATCACTGTATATGATTGTGTACATATACATAAAGCTACTGCCACGTGGGCATAACTACTGCCACATCATCTCTACCTCTAACATTACTATGGATCTCCAGCCGTGGCTTCTAAAACAGGGGGATCTCGCCCCTCCACTGCGCTCGTTCTCATTGTCTGCGGCTCGCTCTCGCTCTATGGTGTCTCCTACAACTTGGTCCTCTTCATGGTCTCCAAGCTCGGCCTCTCCAACGCGGGGGCGGCGATCCAGGTTAGCATATGGAATGGCGTCCACGACTTGTCCCCGCTGCTCGTCGCTTACGTCTCCGACTCTCACCTGGGACGATTCAAAACAACTCTGGGTGGTTCTCTGATCTATTTCTTTGGATTGGCTTTGCTCTCGCTCTCGGTCCTGCTCGTCGAGAACAAAGTTCCCGCAACTTGGCTGTTCTTCGTGGCGCTCTACGTGATTGCTCTGGGGAAAGGATTTGCAGCGTCGCTACTGGCATTTGGGGCCGACCAATTTGATGGGAAAGATCCGGTGGAGGCAGCGTGGAAGAGCTCGTATTTCAATTGGAGTAACTTTAGCACGTCCCTGGGTCTTCTCCTGGCAGTGGTGGGAGTGGTGTATATCGGAGATCGGCTGGGTTTTAGCAGTGCTCTTTTCGTTTGCACGGGGGTGATTCTTTTCGGGATCATGGTATTTTCCAGCGGCGCCAAGTTCTATCGATATGCTCCCAGCTTGACAGGAAACCCATTCGCCAGGCTCCTGCAGCGTGGATCTCACAAGGGTGATCATTCCAACTTGGCGGGGATTTTGGTGGTGTGGCTCGGATCGGTGGTGTACGAGACAATGAAAACGCAAACTTTCTCGCTCTTTGTTGAGCAGGCCGCGCTCATGGGCACAATAGTTGGCGGCTTTCGCGTCCCGCCGGCATCGCTCAACTCGTTCGATCCGATCAGCGTTTTGGTGTGGATGGTCGTCTACGATCGAGTCTTGGTCCCGGTGATGCGTCGAGCGACGGGGAACTCGCGAGGTTTTACGTTGTTCCAGAGGATGGGAGCCGGGCTTGTCATGATGACCGCGGCTATGGCGTGTGCGGCGGTGCTGGAAGCAAGTCGGCTCGCGGGTTTCCACAGGGAGCGAGTTCAGACCAACGTTTTGTGGCAAATCCCCCAGTTCGTGCTTGTTGGCTGCTCGAAAGTTTTCTACTGCGTGGGATTGATCGAGTTTCTCTATGATCAAGCTCCCGAGAACTTGAGAACTGTGGCCGCGGCCATGGCGTTCTTCTCATCGTCGGTGGGGAGTTTTCTTTCCGGATTTCTCGTGAGCATCACGTCGGGCATCACTGGAGAGCAAGGATGGATCCCGCGAGATCTCAACAATGGGCATTTGGATTACTTCTTTTGGCTGCTCGTCGCGCTGGGCATTGCAAACTGGGTCATCTTCTTGGCCTCGTACAAGTTTAAAGAGTAAGTATATACTCCTAGGGCGTGGAGATTCTAAGAATATACACCAGCGTTTTAGGTCTCTCAAAGAGAAGGCTCTAGAAGGACCTGGAATGGCCGTTTGATGGACGATCGGACGGCTGTCCTTGGCCTAAGCAGCTTAAATTCAAGGAGCGGCTTCTCTTGGTAGGGTTGCTTTGATCGTTTGTGAGATTTTGCGCGAGAGAGAGCTAGCTATGGCGGAAGGCGACGTCGAGCGCTTCGCGTTCCAGGCTGAGATCAACCAGCTTCTCAGTCTCATCATCAACACTTTCTACAGCAACAAGGAGATTTTCTTGCGGGAGCTCATCAGCAATGCCTCGGATGTGAGTATTTCGCCTCGTTCTTCCAGTTCTTGTCAAACTCTTTCTTCTTCTCATGCTGCGCTGCTGTGACTCCAGGCTCTCGACAAGATCCGCTTCGAAGGCCTCACTGACAAGAGTAAGCTTGAGAGCCAGCCGGAGCTCTTCATCCACATCATCCCCGACAAGGCCAGCAAGACCCTGACCATCATCGACAGCGGTATTGGAATGACGAAATCCGGTAAGTTTCTAGCTTCCAGTTCTTCCTAGCCGGAGTTCTTACTTGTATGCTCATTCTCTCTAGATCTCGTGAACAACCTCGGCACAATTGCCAGGTCTGGCACCAAGGAGTTCATGGAAGCCTTGGCCGCTGGCGCCGATGTGTCCATGATCGGTCAGTTTGGTGTTGGTTTCTACTCGGCTTACTTGGTGGCCGAGAAGGTCGTGGTGACGACCAAGCACAACGATGACGAACAGTACATTTGGGAGTCTGAAGCCGGTGGTTCGTTCACCGTGACCCGGGACACCACTGGCGAGAGGCTGGGACGTGGAACGAAGATTGTTCTCTATCTCAAGGAGGATCAGGTGTGTTTTTGTGTTTTTGCTGTTTGAGACTATCCCTGTGACTAAACTTTTTCATACTGCGCCAGCTTGAATACCTCGAGGAGAGGAGGCTCAAGGATCTGATCAAGAAGCACTCCGAGTTCATCAGCTATCCCATCTCCGTCTGGGTTGAGAAGACGACCGAGAAGGAGATCTCGGATGACGAGGAGGAGGAAGAGAAGAAGGACGATGAGGAAGGAAAGATCGAGGAGGTTGACGAAGACAAGGAGAAGGAGAAGAAGAAGAAGAAGACCGTGAAGGAGGTGTCTCACGAGTGGAGCCTTGTCAACACCCAGAAGCCGATCTGGATGAGGAAGCCCGATGAGATCACCAAGGAAGAGTATGGTGCCTTCTACAAGAGCTTGACAAACGACTGGGAAGACCATCTGGCAGTGAAGCACTTTGCCGTGGAGGGGCAGCTCGAGTTCCGGGCCATCCTGTTCGTTCCTAAGCGGGCTCCCTTTGACCTCTTCGACACGAGGAAGAAGCTTAACAACATCAAGCTCTACGTGCGCCGGGTGTTCATCATGGACAACTGTGAGGAGATCATCCCCGAGTACCTTGCCTTCGTCAAGGGAGTGGTGGACTCGAACGACCTGCCGCTCAACATCTCCCGCGAGATGCTCCAGCAGAACAAGATCCTCAAGGTGATCCGGAAGAACCTGGTGAAGAAATGCCTGGAGATGTTCGCCGAGATCGCGGAGAACAAGGAGGACTACAACAAGTTCTACGAGTCCTTCTCCAAGAACATCAAGCTGGGGATCCACGAGGACAGCCAGAACCGGCAGAAGCTGGCTGACTTGCTCCGCTACCACTCGACCAAGAGCGGCGACGAGATGACGAGCCTCAAGGACTACGTGACGCGGATGAAGGAGGGCCAGAAGGACATCTTCTACATCACGGGCGAGAGCAAGAAGGCGGTCGAGAACTCCCCGTTCCTGGAGAGGCTCAAGCGCAAGGGATACGAGGTCCTCTACATGGTGGACGCGATCGACGAGTACGCGGTCGGGCAGCTCAAGGAGTACGACGGCAAGAAGCTGGTCTCGGCCACCAAGGAGGGGCTCAAGCTCGAGGACACGGACGACGAGAAGAAGAAGTTCGAGGAGAAGAAGGCGGCGTTCGAGGGGCTGTGCAAGGTGATCAAGGACATCCTGGGCGAGAAGGTCGAGAAGGTGGTGGTCTCGGACAGGATCGTGGACTCGCCGTGCTGCCTGGTTACCGGCGAGTATGGATGGACCGCCAACATGGAGAGGATCATGAAAGCTCAGGCGCTCCGGGACAGCTCCATGTCGAGTTACATGAGCTCGAAGAAGACGATGGAGATCAACCCGGATAACTCGATCATGGAGGAGCTGAGGAAGCGGGCGGACGCGGACAAGAACGACAAGGCGGTGAAGGATCTGGTGCTGCTGCTGTTCGAGACTGCGCTGCTCACGTCGGGATTCAGCCTGGACGATCCAAACACTTTCGGGTCGAGGATCCACCGGATGCTCAAGCTGGGGCTGAGCATTGACGACGATGTTGGTGCTGGAGCGGACGCGGATGTGGACATGCCGCCGCTGGAGGAGGGCGCGGACGCCGAGGGAAGCAAGATGGAGGAGGTCGACTAGACACGATTTTTCACGATTTTTGGGATTAGTTTCAAGAGTGTTGTGCTAAGATACTATGATCTAAGAAGATACTTTCATGAAAAAGAGTACTGATCTAAGAAGATACTTCAATTAAAAAGAGTGTTGTACTAAGCTGCAAAAGAGTGTAAATCTAAGATACTTAAAAGAGCTGCTTTGATCTAAGAAGACATTTCCAGTGTTCATAAGCTAATATGATCTTCATCTAAGAGGAAAAACCCATCCTTGTATCCAAGCGAGAATTTGACAAGAAAGGTTCTAGCTTGATTCTAGCTTTGAGTAACAAATGGAGATCACCATTTCCAATTAATCAATGCTTTTCGGAGGAGTCGTTCTGCTGCTTGGGTACTTCCTGCCAGATAATTCTAAATGAGAACTAGCATAAGAGGGAGTTTTTCTACCTCTTCCTCCGCTTGTAGTGCAGCTAAAACGTCTCGCACTGACGGATCGTTCGGATCAACTCCAGGGAGCTGTTATCAATACCAAAATTGTGAGATGAGCATGCAGTAAGCATATGCTTTACCGAGGCCAGAATAGAGTTCATGAAGCTCGGATCGCCCAACACTTTGTTCATGTCACCTTCGCTGCCTTCGCCTTGCATGGACATCTCGAGTGCTGCACACGCCGAAGTTCGTCAAAGAGAAACGAAGAAAGAACAAAGACCGTACCGAATGCGAGGTCCTGATCTTCTCCCACAGCTTCAGTCATATTCGTGTCCTCGGCGCTGGTACCAGATGTTCCCACCGCGTCATTCATCGACATTGCCAAGGCTTGAGCCAGTAAGGCAGACTCATCGTCCTAAGAAACAATGAAAATTCAGCCATGAAAAAGGTAAGAACAAGAAAGTGTTTACCATCACAACGTCCGGCCCCTTCTCAGTCGAAACTGCAGCGGGAGCGTCACTCGGAGGAGCAACAGCGCCAGAGGTCTCTCCTTTTGGTGCACCATCAGGAGCTTGCTCGTCGGCAGCTCGCTTGGCCGCTGCTTCTTGCCTTGCGCGCTCCTCCTCCATCGAGACACGAAGAGCTAAGGCCAGCTCCGGATCCAGGTTTGGATCGACACCAAATTCGAAGCCACCAGCTCCACCGGCAGCAGCGGCCGCGGCCGCTGCTACTCCCGCGGCTGCGGCTGCTGCAAAGCCACTGCCACCCTCTCCATCGCCCTCAAATATCGGCGAGCTGTTCCAGTGAATCAATCAGTGCTTCGATTCTGAAGAAAGAAACGCTGAGCAACAAACCTGAGAAGCGCATCGGTGAGAACTTCTGAGGATGGCGGGACATGGACAATGTGGCTGTTGTCGTTGCTGTTTACAGACGTTAGCAGTGCTTCTAGCTTCTCGCTCTTGGTATCGTCCTCCTGGCCAAACTCGACGATGTCCAAAGCTACATTGTTCTTCTTCAGCTTCTTGCCTATAGTCTCGAGCATTTTCTTCTCGGCTGCCACAGGGCTACAAGAAACAAAAAGACGAAAATTTACCACAACATGAGTTCATAGGTGAGCTACCTTCCAACGAAGAGCACTATTCTTTGACGTTGGTTCTTGTTCTGCCTGTGTTTCAGCGCAAGCTGTGCGATCTGGACTGCGGAAGTGATTTTCGACTCGCCCCCAAGCTCAACACCTGGACGAGGATAAACGAGAACGAAAAAAGTGTAAGGACAAAGCAAAACTTTACTTGAACAGCTCCTCCTCACCGTGCATACACGAAAGGATCTTGCCCAAGTCCGTCGTTGGCGTGACGAGCACGCGCACTCCTTTGCCCCCAGTCGTTAAAATCCCCACAGTATTCTCTGGATGAGACTGTCAAGAAGAGCTCCAAATTGATCGTCAGTGATCTAGCTCAGCTACTAGAGCGCACAAACCTGCGTTTTGGAGCCACAGATAAGATTGACAGCATCAGCTTGGGACTGGAATCTACTCGTCGGATAGTAGTCCCCATTTCGCATCCACTCGGAATTGTCTATGCAGATCATCGTCGCCTGGCACAAGAGAAGATAGGCCTGGCGTGAAAGATCGCGAGGAGCTTACCTCGAGAACCATTGCGCCCAGGATACCGCCCCCTCTCCCCGATTTTAGGGTTCTAACACATATTTTAGGGTTCTATACGACTTTTATTTCAGCCATAGCCGGCAATGCGCAGGCCATTTTTCTGGAGCACATCCGCCACAGCGATTATGTTCTGGTGGAATCGCTCGTCCTTCTTGGTGAACTCGTAGAGCACGTCCAGGTGGAGCTTGGGGATTTTGGGCCGGAAGGCTTTGATCTTGGCAGCAAGGATCCCAGCCAGCTTCTCGCTGCTCTCGACGCTCAATCCATCTGGAAATTCGTCCCTGATGCAGCGGCTATCGATCGAGATCAAGGGGCGATTGAGGATTCCTCGCTCCACGCGAAGATAGGCGTACCTCTGCGTGAATTTGAGGCGGACATAGTGTGGCTCTGGGAATTTTAAGGGCGGCATTTCTCAAGCTCAAGAACCCTAAAAATCTTTTCTCTTGGGGCTTAGGGTTTATCGAGATTTGGCTGATGGCGCCGGTGGCCTGCGGTGCTAGAATCCACATTTTCCCTGCGCCATGGATTCAACCGGGCTACAGCTCTTCCACATCGCTGGCAAGGCATCGAATGCGTGGCGCTGTGACCTGCTGCGCTGCGCGATCCAGGCGAGCTGTCCGAAATCCGAGTCTCAAGCAGCAGCAACAGCCAAAGCAGTTCTCCTTGCCTGTGGATTTTCTCTCTTCCGAGGTAGCAATCGGCACTGGAGGAGCGCTGTTGCTGCTGGTAGCGGCATATTTTGGTGCGTTCTTCTTCCTTTTCTTCTCCAGTTTAGAGCTGAGCTGCTTTGAATTGGTGTTCTAAATCACAGGGCTATGTTTGATGGGCAGCTGTGCGAAAATTCTCGTCTGGTGGTGGGATGTCCTCGCGGCCTTCCGAGGAGATCACGAATTTGGAGCCTTCTTCTCCGGAGGCTACGCAGAAATACATACAAGAGAGCATGTCTCGGATCCGTGAGTTTTCCAAAGAGCTGCAAACATTTCCCGAGGCTGACATGAGTGGTGAGCTTCTTTTTCTTTTTTCCTTGGAGAGTTTTGTTCAAGCTTTTTGTTTGCAGGTCGTAAGTTTGGCGATGAGGGGATCAAAATCTTGTCTTCGAGCCTTGGATACAACAAAGTGAGAATGAGCTTTGCTTCAAGCAGTTTTGAACTGATCTTTATCTTCATAGTCGCTGGAATACGCTGATTTTTCCGCCAACAACATCACAGCAGTAGGCTCGTCGGAAATGAGAAAGTACTTGCGCGCCAATAGCCACTTGAAAACGCTGAACATGTCTGGAAATCCTATTGGTGACGATGGAGCAGGGGTACTTTGCGACTTTCTTTTTGTTTTTCTAATAGATCTCATTGGTTTTTAGGATTTTGCTGGCATATTGGAGACGAATGGGACTCTAGAAAAGCTGCAATTAAATAGCTGCAACATCAGTGACGAGGTCTAGTTCTTTTCCTTCGTTTCATTCCTTTTTTCTCATATTTTATTTTAATTGCAGGGTGCAAAGCTCTTGGCGAATGCGCTTAAAAGTAACCAGACTCTGGTTGTGCTAGAGCTGAACAACAATACGATTGATTATCCAGTAGGTTTCCAGTTTGGTGTTTCTTTCACTTTAATTTCTTATCTTCAGGGTTTTGCTGCTATTGCTGAGGCTTTGATTGTAAATAAAACCATCAGAGGCGTGCATCTGAAGTAACTTATTTTCTCTTGCTTTTCTTTACATCGGGATAACTGTTTCATGTTTCAGTGGCAACTACGGTGGCGCACTTGGAGCTTTAGCTCTAGCGAAGGGATTGGAACAAAATAAAATTTTGAGGGTGACTTATTCCGTTCATTGTTTCCCCCGTGTATTGAAGCAGGGAGCTTATGTAGGAGATTCACTTGCATGGGAATGGCATGGGCAACGAGGGTATTCGTACTTTAATGGAGGGTTTGGCTTCAAGCAAAGGTATTAAGATTTTTTCCTTCGTGGGGCTCTTTTATCGATGGTGTTTTTCTCAGCAAAACTCTCGAGTCTTGATATTGGAAACAACAGCATTGGTCCTAAAGGGGTTTACTACGTGGCAGAATATATGAAAAAAAGCAAAAGTATACAGTGGCTGAACTTGTACATGAATGACATTGGTGACGAAGTAAGCTTTCGGAATACTCTCTTGCAATCTGGTAACACAGTGACAGGGTGCCGAGAAAATCGCAGAAGCATTAAAGCGGAACAAGACAATCTCTACCATCGATATTGTAAGTTCAAAAGCAGTTCGGCGTGGTTTCTTATCGACGACATGTATGCTTGTCAGGGAGGAAACAATATCACGGCTGCAGGTGCCACTCATATAGCCAATGCCTTGAAAGACAACAGCACCATCACATCAGTAAGGTTTGTTTAGCTCTTGGATCTTGGGCTTAACTCCTTGAGCAGCTAGAGATGAGCTACAATCCGATTGGCGGAGACGGCGCAAAAATCTTAGCGGAGACTCTCAAACATAATGGCAACGTCCAAACACTCCGCCTTGGGTGGTGTCAGGTGGGGAGGCTTGCTCTATGTCATCTTAACTTAAACTCTGTATCAGATTGGAGTCAAGGGAGCGGCGGCCTTCGCTGAGTGTTTACAATACAACTCAACAATGTCAACTCTCGACCTGCGTGCAAACGGATTGGGCGATGAGGTTGAGCTTTTGTTTTGGTTGCACTGCTTCTCAATTGTGGTCTCGAAGCAGGGTGCGGCGATCCTGGCTCGCAGTCTAAAAGTTGTGAACGAAACTCTGACGTCGCTGGACCTAGGCTTTAACGAAATACGAGTAATAAGCCACACTCTTTTCATCCATAGCTCGATTGTAACCTCTCTTGTGCAGGATAACGGAGCCTTCGCTCTAGCGCAGGCGCTCAAGAACAACGTGGACGCGGCAGTCACGACGCTAAACCTCATGAACAATTTCTTTACGAAATATGGAAAGGTCAGGGTGTGTGTGTGTGTGTTCTGAGCAGTCTCTCATTTGCTACGCTATGCAGGTGGCACTGACTGAAGCCAAAGAGCACGTTTGCGAAGTACAAGATGGAAAGGAGATCAACATCTTTTTTTGACCGGTTGATTCCCAGAAGTATAGCGTGCTTTGATTATGTAGTAATGGGATCTAAACTAAGCATATAAATCAGATTCTGTACTGTACATTATACATAGTCTCAAACCAAAGAGTGCATTGATCACCGGTAAATGGAGAAAATCCCCACTTAGATTATCTAAACGGCTTCACTGAAAAGGTTGGTGTTACCCACGGATCTGAAGAGGAGGAGAGAGGAGGAGGAGGAGGTGGATTCATATGTGCATTGATCACCAGACCGTGCAGAAAATTATGGATTAGAATCAAGCCCGAACTTCATGTGATCACCTAAAAACGGTACCCACGGCTAGGATTGCTTTCATCCGACGATTCAACATTAGGGCTTCTCTAGGGTTCCATTCATGGCCAAGAGGAGGAGAGAGGAGGAGGAGGTGGAGCGGGTGAAGGCTCTGCTTCGCGAAAGGAAGCTGGATCTGAGTCCTTTTCGGGATGCTGACTACGAGCATTTGGCCAGCCACGGCTTCTTGACGGCGCAGGTTTTCGAAGTGGCGACAAAAGAGGATCTGGCGAGTGTTCTACCGGGACGCGCAGGAATCGTCCGGTTGCTGGTGGAATCATTCAGGCGTGGTAAGGCGGCTACAGAGATTCCCCCGAATTTGGTGCCCTTCTCGGATGTGGTTTGCGACTTCGCGCTTCCGTTCAGAGGTCGAGACGGCCTCGTGCAGAAGCTCGCAGAGACGATTGACAGGAACTTCACCACTTTCGCATCTAGTGGGATTAGCAGAGAGCAGGCGCTCTTCATCACTCTGGAGGGCCTTGCTGGAGTGGGGAAGACTCGATTCCTTTTAGAGACCAAGGAGCGTGTTGGAGAGGCGCTTAAAGGCAGGGCATCAGCTTTGCAGGAGCTTCATCGTGTTGGAGCTACGGCAGCGGTGTACATCACCTTCAATGGCTCGGCTGTTGGCCATTCATCACCTCATTTTCTGCATCCGGCTTTTGTGGCAATCTGTAAGGAGAGAGGTGGTTACCATTCTGGCCGGGATTTTCTGCGGGTGGCTGTAGTTTCGCAGATACTGTATGGCAAGCCTTGGGGTGCCTTACCGTCTGCGCTGCAGAATGAGATCCTTGCGGGAGATGACTGCGTGTCTGTGCAGAAGGTTTCAGCTCATGTGAGGAAAGGGCTTGCGGTAGCGGAGAATCAGATGGTTGCCTTGTACCTTTTGGTGGACGAGTCACAGCAACTGGGAAGGGAAGTGAGGGAAGCTGGCTGTGATGGTGAAGCCTTCCTGAAAGGCATGTTTTCCTGGTTAGTGACAGTCATGACTTCCTCAGCTGGAAACTCCATCGCCAAGGACTGCAACATTGGCTTTATCACTCTTCTAGCAGGAACAGTTCTTCCTGTAGGCGGAAAGTACGGGGTGAACGTCACAGTACCTCCATTGGATTTGAAATCGGCGCTGGAGGTACTAAGTATGTCTACCAAGGATAATCGTTTTCACGAATTTCGGACGCAGCTGGAAATACTCCTAGAAGACTGCGGCTGTGTCCCGAGGCTGATTCAATACATTTACACTGCATGGTTACAGGCCCAGGGTCTGGAACTTCCAGCAAGGGATTTCATTGCGCACTTACGAACTTCCGTGATTCTGCAGCTGCAGCCATCTGTTGATCGAGTCATGCGGGAAAACCTCGACAACGTGAAACGAATGATTCGGCTTTGCCTCACTGGGGTGGTGATGCCAAGGCCACCTGTTGGGCAGATGACGAGGGAGGAAGAAGCGTGTTTCAGCGGTTATGTGTATTCTGAAGAGGTGGAAGGCGGTGGAGTTGTCTATAAGAGCCCGATGTTACTTATTCATGCGCTTGGACTGAGGTTGGGGATCCCAGAGAGGGTAGTAGCTCTCAGGCCCCAGCCAGCAGTAGGTGGCGTGCTGGAGGATGGCTTTTTGGACATGCTGCATGCCAGGCTCTGGGTGTTGGAAGGCCGAACGCTTTCTCTTGGTCAGATCTTTCCGGGGGCCGTTGGGAACAAGAAGCTGGTTGACACCAGAGTTGTGGTTGCGGCTCGGGGTGACGGAGTGGTTGAAGAGAAGTATCAGTTTTATGATCCGCAGCTGAAAAGGTTTTATAGCCCAGGTGATCAAGAAATGATTGGAGCGGACAGGAAACTCCATGTGCACCCAACTGAGGCAAAACCCACAGGCGCTGGTTTGGTGTTTAAGTGCAAAAAGGGGACGGCATCCACGGATGGGAGAGTGTTCTTGATTGGTGTGGACGGGAAGGTGTACGAGTTCTGGTTCCAGCTCAAGGGACAGGAAGGCCGCGTGAGTCGGGACGAAGCGGCCAAGTGGGCTAGAGCTGCAAATTCACCTGCCAAGTACGTAGAAGGAAGGAAGAAGGTGTATGTTTTGTGCAGTAGGCAGGGCTTCAGTTTCCAGGACCCATGCGAGGAAGGTGATGTGCTGCTCGAGGAGGGTGATGTGCTGCTCGTGGATCTAGTTAACATCATGCAAGGGTTCTTAAGAAGGTGCAATAGGTAATTTTATTGAGAACCAAGAAAGAAATGTGAGGTCTGAAGTGTTTGCTTTTTGGTTTGCTTAAGTAGTAAATATACCTAAAATATACTTGGATATTCTAGGATATTCTACCATCTAATGGTTATTATATCTTGTATTTATAATTTATAAACATGTTAATTTATAAACTTTCCTAAACACTTTCTAGCATATTCTTTTTTATTCTACCATCTAATGGTTAAGATTAATCTTGTGTTTATAAATTATAAACATATTTATAATTATAAATTTCTATTTGATCAATTGGATTAATAAGTACTACTATTATGTTTTTCCTCTTCTTTTTGTTCATTTTCATCGCACAGTTATAATAGCCTTCTCTTCCTCTTCCAGTAATTGATGTAATTGCTCGATGTTATATTATTGCAATTGAACAATCAAACTCAGATGATATTAATGTTCATAATGTATGATGTAATTCTTCTTGCTTTTATTGTTAATCCTTGTATCTAACTAGATTTCCTTTATAGGAATTTTAGGGATGATGTGAACCATTGTTTCAATCATTTTATAGTGATTGCCACAAATCATTTTTTGGATGATGCCCAAAAGTTTCTTATATATCTCTAAGGGATAGTGTTTGTCACAAATGTAACTTTGGGTATCAAAAGTTACTTATTAACTAGTCCTTTTGGATATTTTTTCTTTATTACCACGACGGCAAGAGGTCAATATTGCTGAACCAGTTATCAATTCCCACTTGAGCTAGTTGAGAAACTGATCAATGAATATGCACTTAAATTGGATAAACATAAGGTAGAAACTCTATATGTTTTTTGTTGAACATAATCGACTTAGTTTGAGAAACTTGTGTCATTGGTTTGTATTTATTAGTGTCAAGAACCCTCACAATATTGAGTTTGGTCCCTCAATATCACTAGATGATAGCTTACTGTGTCTACCAAACACCCTCGTTATCATGCTCTTTGTGTTAGTCTTATTTCAGTCTTAAATGCTATTTATGGAAAGTGTCTAGATTCACTCATTTGGCATATCTCCGAAATGTAGAAATTATCTTGAACACAATGGTGTTCATCCCATGCCCAAATTTGCAATCTAGAGACATTTCTCTATTTAGTAAGTTTTGAGTTTATCTTGAAGACTAACTCCTAATACTATGGGAAGCTTAGGGTGAAAGCCCTAAATGTGTGTTCCTCAAGGGGGGGAGGGGGGATATAGGGGGTTCCAAATGTATAGTAGGGATAGTGGGTAGGTTGGGTATGGCCGATCAACCTGAGGCATAGTCTAGCTTCTACTTGCGTGTTTATCCTTGTTCTGTGTTTGGTTTGGGCCTAAGCCCAAGTTTCACACTATACTAGCTAGTGGAGTACCCATGTCCTTGCATTAAACCATCGGTATGCCGAAATAATGCCAGACTTCATTTGGCTCCGTTTTGCGTGTTGGTTTTGGCATTGGGATGTTGGTTGCTTTAGGATTGTTCCAAGTTGCTTTATGCTCTTGTCCCTTTGCTCTTTGAGCTAAATGCTTGGGAGTCGTTTTGTGCTTCAGTGCCATTGTTTCTTGGCTCCATGTTTGGGAGTTTGGCACCATTCTTTCATTTAGTGGCCTAAGGCTTTGAAAGTTGGGTTCCTGTCCTTGGGACACATAGCATGTGACACATGGCATATGACACGTGGCACATAAAGGGTTTAGGTTTCCTTTCGTGGTTATCTTATGGTAAATCACCATAGGATAAAGGGTAAAAACCACGTGTGCTACAATGTTATAGTAGTACAATTGGTTGAATATAACTACTCATAAGGATTAAAGCCTTCTCTTAGACATATTCAAGTATGTATATGGACATATTGATGATTAAGACAATATCTCTCAATAATTGTATTCTCTTTATCAGGTTATATAATTTGGTGTTCGCATCTATAGCCTTTTGCTTTATAAAAAGCCAAATATGTCAAAGTGAATCAAGATGGGTATATTATAGCCATCACTTCAATAAAATTTTATAAGCACTTGTTCTAGCCACTTTTGACAATTCTTTTCAATTGATATAATGCTATAAGATATCACTTCTCTCACTTGTAGTTGTATATGTTTTAAGTCCACTTCCCATAGAAGATATTTTGTTTCAATGGAGGTTGTTATTATTACTACTTGTATTTAAGGACAAGAAAAAAGACACGATCATAAGCATGATATTCAATGCTAGGCATGTGATGAGGTTAGTCATATATATTAGCATTATCAACATTTCTCAAATTAACATTTTCTTTTTCTTAGGTAGAGGTTTTAGTGTCAACAATGTCTTATTAATACTAAAAGGTCTTGATAAAAAAAATTTGGGGAAATGAGAAATCAAGTAAGTAGTAGAGAAAATTTGTATGAATAAGTTAATAACCCTTCCATCTTTTTTTTGGGAATAGTATCAAAGGGTTCACTCAATACCAATTCATTTAATATTCACTTTCTAAAATTATTTTTATAACAAAAGGTCCCTTGTTATTCTTTATATGTTAGTTGATATAGGTTTGAGTTTGTTTTTTATTTACATTATATAGTAGAGTTAATTTTCATTTTCTATATGCATATGTGTAGGACGAAGTAGACTTTTCTATGCAT